CCCCTCCCTTAATACCTCTCATTCAAAACTTAATCCTATTTGAAATTCTGAGCATTAACAGTTACATCTATAGCCTGACCCTATCCTTATACTTGATATGTCATCATGATACCATGTATTCCATAAAACTTATCCATACGTAGTAATACCATGTGTAGCATCAAACCTATCCTCATTTAATACCATTTGCAGCAGCTAAAATCTATCCTTTTCCTTGTAAAACCATCAATCTATCATTATCCTTAACATACCATGTGTCTGTCATCTAAAAACCTATCCTCAATGTTGTAATACGTAGCCTAAAACATTTAACTTTCAAATACCATCTGTAGCTTAAAATAAGTGCTTAATTTCATGAATAAAAAAAGTATTAAAAACCAACTAGGACTTAAATTTAAAATACAAACAGTAACCTTAAACCTATCCTTTAACTTCTTGTAATCTTTTTTGCATCAACATGTATCCTTAAATTTGTAAAATATTGAAATTCTGTAGCCTTAAAACCTATTCTCAACCTTATGTTAAATCATGTAGCATTAAAACTTTAATCGTCAACCTTGTATTACATTCTACTAGCCTTAAAACATATCCTCAATCTTGCATAACATTGTGTAGCCTTAAAACCTAAACTCAACCTTTTATAACCTTTATTAGCCTTAAAACCTATCCTCAACCTTGAATTACATTCTTTAGACTTTTAAAAACCAATCCTCAGCCATTAAGTATTATATTCTGTATATTAAATGTTATCCTCAACTTTGTATTATAATCTGTAGTCTTAAAACTGTCCTCAATCTTGTATTACATTCTTTACCCTTAAAACTTATCCTCAACGTTGAATTACATTTTATAGCCTTAAAAACCTATCCATTTATTACATTCTGTAGTCTAAAACCTATTGTTAATCTTGTATTACATTATCTAGCCTTGAAACCTAAGCTCACCATTGTATTACCTTTTTAGCCTTAAAACCAATCCTCAACCTTGAATTACATTCAGTAGCCTTAAAATTATCCCTATCCAAGTATTACAATCTGTAGTCTAAAACCTATCCTATACCTTTATTAACTTCTGTAGCCTTAAAACCTATCCTCACTCTTGTATTACATTCTGTAGCCTTAATAACTATCCTCAACCTTGTATGGCATTTAAAACCTATCCTCAACCTTGTGTGGCATTTAGCAGCCGTAAAATCTATCCTCAATTAGCCTTATATTACATTTTATACTTTAACCTCAGCCATGTACGGGTATTACATTCTATGACCAAAAACCTATCCTCAACCTTATATTACAATCTAAAGCCTATCTTCAATCTTGTATTACATTCTGTAGCCTTAAAACCTATCCTCAACCTTGTATTACAATCTAAAGCCTATCTTCAATCTTGTATTACATTCTGTAGCCTTAAAGCCTATCCTCAACCTTGTATTACAATCTGAAGCCTAAAGCCTATCTTCAATCTTGTGACAATGTTAGGAAAGTTTGTTTACAGTAGTAATTTAGATCTTTCCTCAATATAATGGTACAGCTAATTCAATCAACACAACACATTCTTAAAAATACATACACCTAACAGGGTTTAATTCTTCTTCATTGCTTCTGAATCCTCATGCAATAGACATCTAAATAATGCTTAATCATAAAGAAAGTATCTCTCCCACAATGTGTACCGACACAGCCAGAGGACACCCAAAGAAGTCACATTCTCTGTTTTTACACAGATTATTACAGTAATAGTGCAGCCCATCTTTACCAGAAATAAAGGTCAATGTGAAAATGAAGCCTTCTATAATAAAAGCCAGCCCTAATCAGTCTAAGACAAACATCCATCTAATGTAAAGCAGTTCTGATTCTTTATCATTAGTCTGAGGATGTGGGGGCTGGTGATTTTATTACACAGGTACAAGTCCCCAAGCACTTAAAATCAATTAGAATAAGCTCCACATCAATAGACAACAAGCTATTATCACCATTGATGAAATCCCACCATTATCTTCAAAGAATCATTTCCATTGTTCTATGCCAAGAAGTCAGGTCACTAAAACACCTAGCTGACAAACTGTTTTAGGTATAATTCACTGCTGTATAGGGATTAACTTATCAAAAATGATCAAAGACAAAGGAACGATCCCTGGCTAAAACCAAATTTCTATTATTTTTAGCTCTGTACTGTTGATTTGAAGAAAACAAATACTTCATATCGGGATTACTTAACTTACTGGAACTCTTTCATGTTGCAGGTAGGAAATGTCTGTTAGCTGAGGACAATGTGCTGTTGAATACAATGTAAGATTGATCATTCTGGATTTTATAAGGACAGATAAGAAAGAGCTTTCTGAACATTTGCAGAACCATGCTAATAAAACTTTAAGAGAAGCTAGTCCTCGTTTGTTACATTTTTGATGATACTTTTCACTAATCTGACTCTTCTAATTAAATTCAACCATTTCTTTTTATATAATCATTACTTTTGGAGCTGATAAATACTCTATCCTCCTGTTTTGTTCAAAACTAAGAAAAGTTACAGCCATTTAAAGTTATTTCAAACTAGACAACCGACTATTCAGAGTTCAATCCTTGGCAATATGTTGTACTTTTGGCATACTGATTGTTCGATTTATTCAATTTTTACTAGACTAGTGTGAAGAATGTTATGACTTGGAAATCTTGTGAGATTTAAAGCTTCCCTGACTTCATCACAAATGAGTGGCAGTAAGTTATTGCGATACTAAGTATTGTTCAGCTGACATCTATATTGAGTATGCCAGTTTTTGCTATCAAAATTTAAAATTTTTAGAGAAGAATAAAAATTATGAGGAGTTTTCATCTAAAAAACATGATTAAACATGATTTGAAATATGCTTTGGTCAACCTACTGTATGTAAATAGGATTTTGCATGATATTAACTCAAAATGAAACTACTATTATTATATCCTACGATTACATCTTATAGTTAGACCAGTCTTTATACGCAGAAAAGTCACACATCTTAAAAGAAAAATATATTTACATAAATATGATCTTATACAATTTATTAATAATTATACACAAGTGAAGAAATGTTTACTCAATTTCTTAAAGGGAGTTATACTATAGTATCCATCAGTGTTGTAACACATCCAACTGTCTAAATTCATTAACTTCTGATTTCAAAGCTTTTTTGAAAAGTTTTATCATAAATTACAGATTAATACTCAATTGATAATGGCAAGAAAATTTCAACTTAAACACACTTAGAGTATTAATATGATACCATTTAAGTAAATTCCTTTTGTGACAGGCACATTTTCATTACAAGTACTCAGAATTTCGCTTTGTGAATGGTCAATAACATTATTAATAACATTATGAAACAGAGTTGGAGTAATCCTACAACTGCTGAGGGAAGAAATTGCGTTGGGGTAGCTTAGATCTGCTGTGGTAAGATATTGTGTTGGGGTAGCTTAGAACTGCTGTGGTAAGATATTGTGTTGGGGTAGCTTAGAACTGCTGTGGTAAGATATTGTGTTGGGGTAGCTTAGAACTCCTGCATTAAGAAGTAGCTTAGAACTGTTGTAATAAATAGTCTCTGCAATGAGATACATAATGCTATTTGTGTCTACCTCTACATACAGATCAATACACACCCTGTTACCATGGCAACACTTTATTACATATACCATCAGATTTTCAAATTTTTTAAAATTCAGAATTAAATGTTTTATTTTGTATAACTTATAAATTTCCATTAAAGTTTTCAAATGGTGGAAACAATTAAACTATCTATTAACATAATTTACAAAAAAAAAAATCACACTTAATTGGTGAAAATTGAAATAATGTTGAATATTTCAAAAATGTCCATTTTTATTACAAGTTGAAAATTATACATAAAGAAATAAAAAAAAACATGTAGATGAACTTAAGAAGTGCATTTGCTATCTGCTGGAGAGCTGAGATTGTGGGGTGAACTTTAAGTCTCAGGACACGAGAATGCAGGTTTGATGTCTTGTAAGATAAGAATCTGACTGATTAATGTCTAAGTGAACCCTATAAAGCTGTTAGCAGTTCATTCCAGGACTCTTGCTGATTTTATAAACAACCAAAAATCAAAGCAGTTAATTGTTGAATTCTCCAATGTGAATATGACCTTGAGTAAGGAAACTATTTATCCTCAAATGACCTCTCAATATGTTTACGTAGTTTACAAAACTCTTTTGTAAGTCACTAGATTTTTAGTTAGTTGTAATAGTGCTACTATCAGATCATATTCAAAAATGAAAAAAGACAAAAGGTATTACTGAATGACAATGGATTTTTATTCCTTCCGGTTAATAATCCTATACACCCCCCCCCCTCCCCCATTTTCTTTAATTTAGTACAGTCATTGGCCTTACAGACTGATGTCTGATTCTTATAGAGATTGATCCCTATCATATATTTCCTTGATTCTATCAAGCTTTAATGACAGTTGTGTGTGATACAGGCCCCTAATTGAACTCTCTGATGTTAGAGTTGATGTTTCATTAACAGGTGTATATTCAAATTAATCCCAACACTGGACAAAGATTCACACAATCACCAGATATCATCAGGTCCAATTTCTCCTACAGTATCAGGTCTTTAGACTCTAACTTGCCAATCACAAACTGATTATAACCTTAACAGAATCTAGATACTATCATCATTATTTTGTTCACTTGAAATTGTGTGTTAATGTAAACCAGATTACATATTTACTAAGATTATAATGTTTATCTACATTGTGTTTGATACTGTTGTTAGTGAAAAAAATAATAGAAATGAGATTAAAAATAACTTAGATGAAAAGTTTTCTGGGGAAATAAATCAACCATACTTCCTAATCATTAGATGGTGTGATGATGGAATGCCTTAATTATTGATAGGAAACAAAAACTAAAAAAAAAGTAAAGAATAAAATTTAACAAAAAACTATTAACAATCAGAAGCAGAGGGCTAGAAACACTAACAGACCAACAGACATTATGTACACTTACCCTGCTATCACAATAAAACAATCTAAGCGGTTCCAGGAATCGTCTAGATACGTATATTTCCCATACACTCCCATGGCAATTATTTTGACAATCATTTCTGCAGCAAAGAAGGCGAAGATGAAGTGGTCAAACTTTTCGAGGATCTTACAGCGTGTGGAGGAGCATTCTAGGTCACTGCATGGCTGGTACATACCCAGAGTGATGCAGTTAAGAAGGATGACCGCCATGCTGATTCTCTCAAACCATGTACAGCACAGTTAAGGAAAGCAATGCGACAATGACTTAAAATAAATTATTTACACTGTCAAATCATTATACACAAACAATATCAGTACTTTGTGATTTGCACTGGTTTAAATCTATCCAGTGAAGATTGAAACAAGTTTTCTTCTTGTTGACTAACTTTTCATCAGGAACACTTACTGTAGATTCCTTATTTTCGTTAATATAGAGAATTCGCTCCTTTTCATCAAATGGCGAGAATAATAATTTGGGAGTGGATGGTCGATCAAAAGATTTTATATGAATTTCAGTACCATAAAAATAAAAGCAAGTAAATTTATTGAAATTTAGTGAAATTATGCAATAATCAGTTCCTCACGTATATTTAGGAATCTACAGTAAGGAATATAATTGTTACCTATATCGTGTATATATTGGACTGTCTAAATTATAAATGAGGGTAGCCAAGATGTAAAGTTGTTGATGTGTCCATTGTTACATCAGCCTACTTAAAAATTTGGTGAAAAAAAATAAGGTTGAAAAATTTCCTTGTATATATTAATTACCTCTGAGCACTAATTCCATGTTTCTATTTGTTCATTGAAAAAAATTACTTTGTCTTCTACTTGTTCATTTTTATTTTTTCTCATTTTACTTACTCAACATGTTCATGTTAAATTCATTATACTTGTAAATTTTTAAACTATATAAATGACTCACTCCCATTTGCCTTTCTATAAACTGATCATACATTCTATACTTATTTTTTTATGACAAGGTCAACTGATATTGAAACCACATAAAATATTGTAACATTTTATAGGAATCATGTATCAGGTGTGCAACAGCTGGGATCTTCCAAACCTATTAAACACAACCCTCTAAAAATTACATAATAATTATGAGGATACTTCTCAATCAGCTGATTTATGACTTGTACAGAAGAAAAAATATCTTAAGAGCTTTAACTTAATAAACATGACCAATTCTTGTAGGAAGCAATCGGTAACATTACAATTATGTTAAATCAAGCTGCCAACAGATGGCCACAGAAGTAAAGATAAAATATTTTCAATAAATATTTTCATTGAAGGGTAGGTAAATTTGCATTCTTTTGATACATGCTATTGAAGTTAAAATATAGAAAAGTATGTTTAAAAGGACTTACTCCTACAGAGATTTCTCATTCACTACATTTGTATATTGGTAAAGATTTCATGAATATATAATTGACCACAATTTAAGTGATAGCCTTCCTATAAAAAACAAACCAGCTAAATGGCCATGCTTTTGTACAATATGAAACATTACATGCTTTTTTTCCCTGAATTTAATTAACTAATCTTCCCCTTTTCCTATGAGATCTGTAGTTTTATATTTTGTAAATTTCAGAATCAAATTAATTAAAAAAAAAAGAGTACATATATATATGCATGCCAACTACCAGGGTATTTTTATCATGTCAATATATATTCAGACACTGGCTCTTTCACTTTAATTATAATTTTATGATTTCAATACATTCTCATGTGATTTATTCTGTAACCACTGAATGATATATTTCTCTTTGACTAGAAAGGAAACATATGTCTTGCTGTCACATGTGGTTTAGGTTTAAACTGACCAATACCTGTATACCTGAAGATTGTATATAAATATTGCTTCAGGATTAGGTATTATTGATAAACAAGAGCTATACAATGTAGTGGACATAGTGTCTCCCCTGCTATTGTTTTACAATCAATCGCAGACTGACAAGACTTCAGACCATTTAATTATGGCATATTCCAACAGAACTGTCTGTAATTACAGTAAGACAACACTAGCTCACTAGGGTTAGGCCTGATCTTTGCTTTGGAATCTTCTTGAGTTTATGAAAATTTCATTAATTATTAATCCCTTAGAATTAACCTAGAAAATCATATTGCAGTGAACTCCCTTATTACAATTAAATGTACAGATAAAATGAGCAACTTCAGAGTTCTCAAAACAAGACTACTGTAACAAGCACTTGACCAAATTTTCAAAACTGTGTTTCCATTAATTCTACAGACTCTGAACATCTTTATCTATTAAAAATGGCTTTCTTAAATCTTCATACAAAACCAGCACTTTTTCATCGCTGTGGCAAAAACAAATCTTAAAATAAGCTAATTATTTACAAAAAAAGACCTCTGCATGTCAGATTTGAAATCATGAGTTTTTCAATGATCATTTCAATAGCTCCGCCTTTGAAATGCATTCACAAATGTTCAATTTTTTTAGCTCTTTAAAATTCTTTTGATAAAGAGAATTATCTATCCCTGATATTTTGATGTCTCTCCTCCAGGTACTGGCCGTGCGCTATGATTTTGGTGTGGTGAAATGGGGCAAAAAAATTGATGTTCTCCAAGGGAGACAAATCATCCTGGCATGGAAACCGTGAAGCAGTAAATCTCTACAATATTAAATCTAATGATAAGCGGCTGATCCTAACGTGTAAGAGTAATTTGTTATGCCATGTCAGATTGACTCAAAACACAAAATTATCAAAGTTACAGGGGTGATATAATTAGTTCAAATCAGCATTTCCCTGCATATTAATATGTTGTGTAATGTATTATCAAGTTCTGCAGACTGACTCAATATGTCTGATTCAGTCTGCCATTTTTACAATCAATTAAGGCAATCTGTTTTAAATGTTAATGAAAAGTGCAAAAAATAATGTAAGTCCTCAGTTATGAATCAATAACCTACAAAAAAAAACCCATCAATGCCTGCCATTATGCCGAACAGGAAAATGTATGATAAATCATTCTGAAGACTTAGATGAACCATTTAACAAACATAGAGTGTTCTATAGCACAGTTATAGCAGTGTACTGTAGCACAGTTATAGAAAGAGTCCAATAGCACAGTTATAGCAAGAGTCCTATAGCACAGTTATAGCAAGAGTACTACAGCAGAGTTATAGCAAGAGTACTATAGTGCAATTATAGCAAGAGTACTATAGTGCAATTATAGCAAGAGTACTATAGTGCAATTATAGCAAGAGTACTATAGTGCAATTATAGCAAGAGTACTGTAGCACAGAAATAGCAAGAGTACTATAGCACAGAAATAGCAAGAGTACTATAGCACAGAAATAGCAAGAGTACTATAGCACAGAAATAGCAAGAGTACTATAGCACAGAAATAGCAAGAGTACTAGAGCACAGTTATGACAAGAGTACTATAGCACAATTATAGCAAGAGTACTATAGCGCAATTATAGCAAGACTACTATAGCACAGAAATAGCAAGAGTACTATAGCACAGAAATAGCAAGAGTACTATAGCACAGAAATAGCAAGAGTACTAGAGCACAGTTATGACAAGAGTACTATAGCACAATTATAGCAAGAGTACTATAGCGCAATTATAGCAAGAGTACTATAGCACAGAAATAGCAAGAGTACTATAGCACAGAAATAGCAAGAGTACTATAGCACAGAAATAGCAAGAGTACTATAGCACAGAAATAGCAAGAGTACTATAGCACAGAAATAGCAAGAGTACTATAGCACAGAAATAGCAAGAGTACTAGAGCACAGTTATGACAAGAGTACTATAGCACAATTATAGCAAGAGTACTATAGCGCAATTATAGCAAGAGTACTATAGCACAGAAATAGCAAGAGTACTTTAGCGCAATTATAGCAAGAGTACTATAGCACAATTATAGAAAGACTGATCAGGGCACAGACTAATCACAGCTAGCCTGTAGACAGGCAGAAACACATCACTAGGATGTTTGTAAATGTTTGGCGGCATTGAAATTTTTTCAGCTGTGACTGAACGTTTCGACCACTTTGATCTTCTGCACAACATGTAACTTATCTGTACTTATCAAAGCAGTATCTCACATCTCCTGCATCAACAAGTTCAATGTAGTCATTAGAATTAGTTCAATCAAATAAAATTTAAAGAAGGGCAATTAATTGATCCATAAAAACCCATTAAATTAAAGTTGTCTTTCTGCACTTTTGCAGGGCAACAAACCAACATTGCTCAATTCATTCACCCAAATTATGCAATACACTGATGTCTTCAGAAGAAAATCTTCATTCATTTGATGATCAACTTAATAATTAATCTGCTTTAGTATTGTATATGTATCTCAGGCTACTGATGAATGTGGATCTCAAACACAAGATCTAGCTGTTCCCCTCGCAGTACATTAACCTGTACGTAGTACCCTACAAATACACCTTCTTGGTATAACCCCCCATACCCCAAAGACGCTATCCTGAAGAAGGTTAGGCCAAACTTTTTCCATTCACTTCTGTCATTTAACAAGCAGTACAACCAATCAAATTTACAAATAACCTTAGGAATCAGGGTCATTATCAAGCTTCATTACAATGATATCAACTTCTAGCTGTCAAGCATTAGGATTAATATTTACTTCTTTTAGAAGTACATAAACCAGCCTTAAGACCCATCATCAAAGCTTACCCTGTCTATTATATTAGTTAAAAAGAATACAAGCTACTGGATATAAACTCTGTCTTTCATCCATCTGATGTTAAATGCAGTTTTTTTTTTTTAAATCAGAAATGAATTGTTCAGTAAATTTATATTTGGGACAACAATAGAATATATTCATATAATACCATTTTCTCAAATTCTGTAATATTCTACAATACTTCATACTAATGTGTTTGAATTTCAGGAGGTTTTTTTTTTTTGGCAACTATCAAATTAACACTTGAAACATTTCCTGCATGATTTTAATCTTCTGGCAGAGGGCCTTGGTTGCTGTGTAGAAGCAAAGCAGGGTGTAGGAGGAAACTTTACACCACAGAAGTGTGCCGTGTCAGGAGCAGGCTCGGAGAAGAGTAGCAGATTGCTGACTCCTGAAGCCTCGGATTTAGGGCTGCACTTTTAATAGCTGTAATCCCTGCAGTGGATAACTTGGTGTCAGAATCCATGCCAAATCCAGAACTTATCCAGAGAATATTGTCCTTAGAGAAGACATAAACTAGATTTACTCACAGTGCATATTGTGTGTCTTTTATATTAAGGTCAATC